CAGAAGCATAGCTTTACTCATTACAAAAGTCCTTTTTTTGAAAGGAGTATATAGCAGGACAGCTTAGGTTTGTGCTTTTGGGGTTGAAGGCTAATAATGAAATAAAGAGATTTCCCCATCTCCCAAAGGGGAAGGAAGCCAGTCTGCACCTTTTGTTCCATTTAAACTAGAGGTTGCTTGTTTTGTGCAGCAACACAGCATCTGTGAACCTGCTGGAAGCATCTGCGGGGGAGCCTAGCAGAGCCAAGTAACAATCAAAACTGAGCACACACAGTTAGCAGAGCGGTGTGAGATTTCTTTGACTCCACGGAACAACACGGCGTCTTCCAAACTGCAATGCTTACTAACTTTTTTTTTTGTAAGAAAGAATAATAAAAATAATAAAAGGCACCTTTGGTGTTCAAGGATTCCCGTCCTATCTCTGGAGATGCAGGGGAATTAAACACAAATTTCTTTTTTTGTGTGGGCAGAATGTGCTTCCCATGCGGCTTGTGCACTTTGTCAGCAGATCTGGTCCTCTGCATTCCATCCAAAGGAAAGGAGTCCTTGTTTTCTTTTTTCTTTTTTAACCAGTGGTAACAATGATCAGCGCATAGCTCCAAGGTTTACGCGACTCTGTGCGTTTCGACCAGAGTGAATTTATGACTTGAGCCTTGCAAAGTAATTTCTTGCATTATTTTTTTTGAACAATACTTTGTAGGCTCCCCACCCCCGAAGTAACACTTCATAACAAGATCTTTGGGGAAGGATCATTGCCAAATACATTCTGGCATTCTGCTATTTTGATACAGCTGACCTCTCTTTGATTACAAAGCTATACCTAAGGGGCTAATAACCAAAGAAAAAGAAAGCAGCAGAGCTGATGTTTGACTGTAACAAGAGCATAATCTTGCAGAAATTTAAGACAAAGCTAAACATGGAAAAATCTAATCCTCGATTTCCCCCTCCCCCTTTCCAGAGCTGAGCCTGGAACACATAAGCGGCTCTCAGCTCCATTTACACTGTCAGGAGTATGGACCAGGAAAGTGGTATCTATTACCATTCGACTTCACAACAACCATCATAGCATGAAAGACAGACTTTCTTTGGGGATATTTTTCTTTTCTGAGCAAGGCAACCTAAACACTGTGTAATCCCAAAGCAGCCCTACATGACAAACTACCTAAATTATGCCTACAGGAATGATCTACTAAAGTACGTACCACATTTAAGGACTCCCGGCTGACTTGCACAATTAAGTGGGGTCTCTTTTATAGGGTACTGGAGACATGTCTATTACGATTTATCTATGTGGTCCAGCTCACACAAACATGTGTTGTTTATCCCTTCTTGACTGCCTCATCAAATCATTGCTCGTTTGCTTGGATGAGCTATCACAGTTTAATCCCCTCAGAGAAAACCTGCATCTCATGCAGTTCCAACTCAAACAATGCTTTTCCAGTGAAGATGCTTCACACATTCAGCTGAGAGATCAAGTGATATATATATATATATATATATATATATATATATATATATATATGTAGGTGTGAACCAAGACAAAAGTCAGCACATGCTGAAACAGGTCCGAGGATGCTAACTTCCTGCCTTCCTGCTGACCTGGCTACAGGACAGATCTCCACATTTCCCCCATAGTTTCAAGTGTTTAAAAGTTGCCATTGCCTCAACGGTTCGATTTCTGCTAAGCAGCAACTGCAGCAACTGCAACTTATTCTGGAGAATAATGTGAGGGACGGTCTTTTTTAAACTCTACTTATGGCGCTATCCCCAGCCCAGCAACAGTAGACTGGCAGATAACTGCACAGATAAAACGGGGAAAGGGGAATTGCAGCCTGTTAAATTAATCCACATCCGAATTTCAGCCATCTCCCCTACAAATCTCTGAATTTTTCTCATACAGCTTAGGGAGTGGTGATTGACTAGATAGAATTGCAATCAGCTTCTGAGCTGGTCCATTTCATCCCCAGAGATATATTATACTGCCAGAATGATTCAATATAACTGGAAGGATTTTGCATTGTTCTTGGTGGTTCTATCATTCTAGAATTTTTTTTTATTTTGTTGTTTTAAAAACACTTCAAATATTGTTATGGCCAATGGCTTCAATCATTTCAACAGCAAACATTTATTCATTCATACCAGAAATTATACTGGCCTAAAACAATCAAGGTTTGCTTTTTATGGACCTGTAGGGGGAGAGCAAGAAATAATTCTACTGATGTTTCTAAATCCTCATCCTTCTGTTTAGATTACTAGTTGAGCATCTGCTGATTTTAATTCAATATTCCTAACTAAAATATGTCTTATTTATTGGAACCACAGCATACCCTCCAACATTTCTCTGATGGAAATAGGGATATCCCATTCCATAATAATAATTTTACTATTTATACCCCACACATCTTACTGGGTTGCCCCAGCCACTCTGGGCAGCTTCCAACATATATAAAAACATTTTTTTAAAAAAAACCTTCCCTATACAGGATTGCCTTCAGACAGCTCGGGAGTCAAATAACTCCATACCCTCCAACATTTCTCCAAAGAAAATAAGGACATCCTACCATACCTTCTAACATTTTTGCGATGAAAATAGGGACATCCTAAGGAAAAAGCAGGATATTTCAGGATCAAATCAGAAACCAGGATGGCTTCTCTAAATCAGGGACATCCCTGGAAAATAGGACACTTGGCGGTTTACAATCTTTTGTCTTCAAGCTGGTTTCTATCTTTCTCTTTCTGAGGCAGAAAGTTCCACAACTAGAGATTGGATTTGGATTTGATATCCCACTTTATCACTACCCAAAGGAGTCTCAAAGCGGCTAACATTCTCCTTTCCCTCCCTCCCCCACAACAAACACTCTGTGAGGTGAGTGGGGCTGAGAGACTTCAGAGAAGTGTGACTGGCCCAAGGTCACCCAGCAGCTGCATGTGGAGGAGTGGAGACGCGAACCCAGTTCCCCAGATTACGAGACTACCGCTCTTAACCACTACACCACACTGGCTGTTGGGTATCTTGGAAATCTATCCAAAAAACAAAACAAAACATTTTTCGGATGATTCTGAACTAGTTCACTCATGTATGCACATTGCTGGAGTTTGCCTAGTCTACATGAAAAGACTGACATCTGAAGGTATAGACTTACTATTGATAATGTCTGTTTGATGGGCCATTGGATAATATGACTGCTCCATCTCTGGTATTAGGTCTGTGATGGCTCATGGGCACATACATTGACAGTGCAGTCAGAAAGTGATGAATGCACAGAACACTGATGAACTAGTTTTCAGTAGAAATGTTGTGTTCATGTCCCCAAGTTCAGGTTAAACTGGCTGCCTGCATGTGCACAACTCTCTCTCTCTCTCTCTCTCTCTCTCTCTCTCTCTCTCTCTCTCTCTCACACACACACACACACACACACACAGAACTTTGCTTAGATCCTATGAAAAAGTAAATTTTTGTTTTGTATGTCTGTTCCTTAGAAAGAACACCCATTATGATAACATACAGCTCAGCATTTAGCACATCCACACATGCAACAGGCAATGTAAAACACAACAGTTCAATGTCCTATAACTATATGCCTACAAACTCTATGGACATTGGCTCCATATCTGTGGAGGCTGGTCCATTCATGGTCTGCCCTCAGCTAGTCTTCTCCTGCCTCCCTTCCTACTTACAAACCAGTCCAGGGGCTGAAATTGCCTGTCACTTTCTTCCTTCTAAGTCTCAGTGTTGTACATGAAGGAAGGAGGGGGCAAAACTAGAATGACTTGGCTCTGCCTGCCACTAGCTCTGTCTCTGCCTACGGTGGCTCCCTCTGCCTTCCGTCCTACCATTGACAATGTGCACCAGCCACCACGGCATTTAAATGTGATTTAAATATGCAAATGGCCTTAAATATGGCCTTGTCTTAATAATAAATGTGCTCAGTACTTCTACGAGTTTTCAATGGAAAAGACCTGTTTTGATGGTTCAGTGAAGATTGTAAACCTTTTTGGAAACAGACTGCTCTACTTTTGCGATCTGTATATACTCCACAGCACTGTAGGTAATTATGATGATCATAACAGGTCAACAAAAGCAGCATCAAGGGACCTTTTATATCCTGTTGCAAACCTCTGAGCCAGGTATGCCAGCACAAAGCAATAGACTGTGGTAGATCTACCTGCTCTAAATCTTGCTTGGCCTTCCATAATTACCTCTTTTGGTTCCACCCAGCCTATCAAATGATTGCATGAATGGCATGCAAACATTTTAGATGCAAAATAAATAACGGCTTTTGGAATACTACCTAGAAGGATCAGAGCATTAACTATAGAGTTTTCTACACAGAGCTTTAAAGTTTGGCCAAACTTGAAGCCCACTGTTCCACATCATGCTGGAAAGAGAAATTCAATCAAGTTGTTGAGCTGGCGGAAGCCAACACAATGAGTCCCCTCAGTGCAATGGGACTTTCCCCTCTCTCCTCCCCAACACCCTCCCCAAATCTGCTTGGGAGGGTTGGGAGATTGTTCCATCTGGCAAGCAGAAATGTTTGTGCTGATGGAGCTAACACCTTTGCACGACACTGAATTCTACCCAAAGTCTTCTCCTGTTGGCCTTGTTATTTCTTAGCCTTTAAATCAAGTGTTTAACTTTTGCTGAATTGATAAATGATCTCTCCTCCCACCATGCATCAACCAGATTTGTCCTAGAGGTCCCCCCCCCAACCCTCTGGAGCAGATCTGGGTAGAGTAAAGAGGGAGGAGAGGGGGGCAGAAATCCCATTGCACAAGAAGAAATCTTTGCAGTGATGGGACGTTGCACTTGAATATTGCAATTAGTTTTATACACATTTGCTGCATTAATCATATAACAAGATCAAATATATTTCATTTCAGAATGTCTTCATACCTTCCTATGTTCCTAAGTTCTACTCAATGTCTAGTCAAAATCACATGTTTGTAATTCAATCCAATTATTTTAGGTCCCATCCTTTGAAGCAACATAAAATGAACCTGCTTTATCACAGCTCAGTTGGTAGAGCGTGAGACTCTTAATCTCAGGGCTGTGGATTTGAGCCCCACATTGGGTGAAAGATTCCTAGATTGTAGGGGGTTGGACTCAATGATCCTTGTGGTCCTTCCAGCTCTATGATTCTGTAATCTCTGTGGCAGCCCTTCAGTTATTTGAAGATGTCTATCGTGTCACTTTTTAATTGCTTCTTCTCCAGGCTAAATATCCCCACCTCCTTCAAACTTTCCTCAAGGGACTTTGGAACTAAAACATTTAACAACAGTACAGAATAAATTGAGGCTTCTCAGTTGTAGTTTTTAATCTCTGGTTTTTCCAGTCTCCATCTCTGATCATCTCTTTTGTCACTTGCTACACATAAAATATTTTGCTCATCTCCCAGAGACTACAAAACCCTCCAGGCTGTCAAGATAGCTGCAGAACTTGTGTATATTTTATAGAATTCATAATCAAAAGGCTGTCTATGGTGTTGCCAAAACCAACAGAAAGTCTGATAAGGCTTTCTACTGTCTAAGATACAATTATTTTACAAGATGAATTATTTTTATTACATAGTTATCACAGCCACTTTTTGTTATCAGACAGTTTGTTGTGACAAAAGAATTGAACGGATCTTTCTACGGTTCAGTGTTGTGAAGTGCTCAAAGCGCTATCTCACAGGAAGCTGGCTGTACGTTGCAAATCCATGAAAAAAAATAACCCATCATATCCTATTTAAAGATGTTTATGCACAATCAATTAGTAGCACCGACCCTGAAAAAATGACTCAAGCATCGTTAGTCATACAGCTGACAAAAACGGGTAAAAGCATCTCCTTATATGTCCATATAGCTTTTTCTTACTTGGAAGCTTTGCACAAGAAATTACTAGGACTCACTTCAAATGTCTAGGATCACCCTGGCGGGGGGCATCTTGGTTACTAACTCAACATTCCCAGTGAATTTCCCATTGGACTCTTATCAATATATCAGCAGTATTGTTTTTGTTTGGCGCTATAAATAATATACCAAGATGATAGTGACTTGAGATCAGATGACACCCCCACCATCCACCCCAACATCATCACCACTATCATTTGTAACAAGCAGCCATGGGGAGGGGCAGATGACAAAATCAGAAACTGGAACTGAAATCCCCAGTGTTCACTTATTTGTCCCATTTCCAGAATAGAAATAAATCTAGTGAACATAAATAAATACTGTGGTCCCAATCCAAATCTAACAAAAATGTTGTGAGACAGGAGACCCAAAACCAAGTCTCCATTATCTTCACCTTTGGCCCTGCATCTTTCCTTAAAAAAAAAGAAAAAGATTTAAATCAATTCGTCACTTCTTAGAAGGTAGAGAGCAGTAACAGAAGCAGAAGGTAGCTCAGTAACAGAAAAAAAACGTTGAACACACCAGGTTTCACAAGTCTTAACAAGGCTCCCTTAAAACCCTGCAGATGTTTCCCCTAAGGAGGAAGACCAATTTCCCATTGATTTTCAGTGAAACTTTAGCTAAAGGAATCTCAGTAAGCCGAAAAGAACTTCTGTTTGAAGCCCTTTGGAAAACAGTTGGTAGCAGTGGGCTAGAAGGATTAGAATCATGATTCAGTAGAAAGTAGCTCTTTCTCCATTCATCTTTTGATCCATCCATCCCTTTATTATGAGTGTTTTTTTATCATTTGATGCTTACCTCCTGTTAGCATAAGGGCACATTTGCACATGCAGTTGTCATTGTCAGCATCTTTGGTACTGAAGTCAGCTCCGTGCAGTATCAAGCTGCTCTGTTTTCCTGCTGTTCCTGAATGACCCTTTAGATACAGCCTACAAAGAGACAGGAGAGGTTCTTCATGTTATCCAATACATCCACACAATGAACCACACTTGATTTGGAATTCTGTGGTGGTGACAAGTCAGGAAGATTCCCAAAATCCTGAAAATGCTGCGGGTCAGTGAAATCATATTTCAGCCATATCATTATGACTTAACTAATTTGTGATTTCCCCCACTGTGTACCACAGACTTAGAATGGCTCACACTAGGGCTGGATCTTGACACATCAAAGAAGCATTTCAGTTTAAAGAAATGTAAATTTAAACAGGGAAAACAGGTAGAGGAAAACAGGACTCCATGTCGACATCCAGTGGCACAATGTTATATCACACATACAACACATATAAATGACTTTTTCTTTACCAGTCTAGCTGAGTCCTAGAACTCATGGACATACAATGAAGGTGAAGGTCGGAAGATTCAGGAGAGACCAAAGAAAGGAATTTTTCACACAGTGTGCAGTTAAACTACGGAATTGGTTCCCACAGAAAGTAGTGATGGCCACCAACTAAGGCGGTTTTAACAGAGAATTAAATAAGTCCCAGCAAAGGAAGAATGGATACAAAAACTTATGGAATATGCAGAAATGGCGAAACTTACTGGAAGAATAAGAAATCAAGGTAACAAACTTTTTATAAAAGAACGGAAAGGGTTTATTGAATATTTACAGATAAATTGTAAACAGATAAAAACACAGGCAGGGTTGTTGTAATAACCTGCAGCTACATAAGAGTATATATTTAAAGAAGATAAATAAATGAGTTAAGTTAATTTGGATATGCAGAAGATATTAAAAATAAAGTTAAGGGAACCTGCAGAAAGAGGGGGAAGGAAGACAGGTTCTAAAATGTCAGAATGATTGTAAGATCAGTGAAATGTATATATCTGAAAAGTATAAATAAAATGTTAAAAAAGTAAAAAAAAAAAAAGGGATTCACAAGTTCATGGAGGATCAATGGCTGTGATCTGTGATGGCTTTGTTCTACCTAGAAGGTCATCTGTCATGGATGCTTTAACTGAGATTCCAACATCGCAGGGGGTTGGACTAGATTACCACTGAGTCCCTTCCAACTCTACGATTCTTTAATTCTACCTCCACTGGTGATGGCAGTGTGCTCCTCAACTCAGTAGCTGGGAATTGAAAGACAGCAGGTCCTGCTTGCAGACTTCCCAGAAGCTTCTATCTGGTTGGCCGCTGTTAGAACAGGATACTGGATTAGATGGGCCATTGGGCTGATCCAGGAGGGTTTTTATTGTGTTCTTAGATGATTGCACTGTCAGCTACACAATGCCCATTCCCAACTAAGAGAACGCTGCTGCATAATCCCTTTACACACAGCCAGAATTGGATCAGTAAGGGGAGAATTAAGGGCACTACGTTGGAAAGAATGCAGCCAATCAAAATGGCAAGATAAATCCAATGTAGGGGAAGTTCCAAATGCAGGGCTGAGATAAAGTATCTTGGAAAATGTCAGAGAAAGGCTGGGCATAAAAACAGTCACGCTTTATGAGGCACAGTTGAAATGCAGTGCCAATTAGATATTGTTTTCTAAAGCAATAGACAGGCTACATTTTTGGAGCAATAAGTATTCCGCTGGTCCTTATGCTTTTTTTGTTGTTGCTTGAATATAAACAAACTAAATTGAGATTAAAGCCTTCTAGATTTACTGAACTTGGACTCTCTTGGCTTATTTTGGTAAATGATCTTACTTTTTTTTTCCCCTAGAGGAAAATAAACTCCTTCGGAATAGTGCTGATAGAAAAACGACTCCGGAACATGGTATCTACAAGCTTATTTTAAACTGTCACAGATCGTCAGTACATCACCCCCTGCCAAGCTCACAGAAGCAAATGTCAGCAGAAATAGTGGAACCTGGCTTTTTGACACCATTTAAAGAACTCTGGCTAAATCCCATCATGAAGTCAATAGCCGAAAGTGCTAAAAAAAGAGCCAGGGGTTTCTTAAACTGGATGTATAGAAACTCCATGAGAATTTTTGCTCAACTTAAATCCAGACTGGTCATGGCATAATCTGCACATGAACAAATAATCTTGTCATGTTTATAGCATGTAGGTCATTGCTGTTGTTTTGCTATGTCATTATGAAAGTGTTTTCGTACTGTTTGTTTGAAACGCAGCCTTGTTTTCTTTGTTGTAAGCTGCTTTCAGCATAATTTTATTTTGTGGGAAATCGGTATAGAAAGAGCATGAATGGAAATGAATGAATGAACACAGAACACAGAAGGTCCCATATTCACTACCCATGTAGTGAATGGACCTGGGAGACCAGAGTTCGAATCCCCACTCGGCCATGTGTTGGGGCATGTGCAGAGTGCCCATTCAACACGCCAGCAGATTGTGCAAATGGAAAAAACCCAGGATGCGGTTGTCAAAGAAAAAACCCAGACAGTTTGGGGAGGGTCAGTTCCTTTACTGACAGGCAGTCCAAAATATAATGCTGTTCCTCAGCTTAGCAGTAACATACTGTACAGCTGTGGTATAAAGTACAGTGGTACCTCGAGTTACATACGCTTCAGGTTAAAGACTCTGCTAACCCAGAAATAGTGCTTCAGGTTAAGAACTTTGCTTCAGGATGAGAACAGAAATCATGCTCCGGTGGTGCGGCAGCAGCAGGAGGCCCCATTAGCTAAAGTGGTGCTTCAGGTTAAGAACAGTTTCAGGTTAAGTACGGACCTCCGGAACGAATTAAGTACTGTATTTTTTGCTCTATAAGACTCACTTTTTCCCTCCTTAAAAGTAAGGGGAAATGTGTGTGCGTCTTATGGAGCGAATGCAGGCTGCGCAGCTTTCCCAGAAGCCAGAACAGCAAGAGGGATCGCTGCTTTTGCTGCGCAGCGATCCCTCTTGCTGTTCTGGCTTCTGGGATTCAGAATATTTTTTTTCTTGTTTTCCTCCTCCAAAAACTAGGTGCGCCTTATGGTCTGGTGCGTCTTATAGAACGAAAGTCTGTCCCAACAGACTGAGGTAGCTTACGGCAAAATTAATAAAATGTATTTCCAGCAAAATGCCCTCCTAGTGGCGTTCCAACACAGAATTGGTTCTAGCCAAGGAGTGGGGATCCAGTGGAACGTGCTACAAACACAAGGGTATTTATACTTTAGATTGTGCTGAGTCACTCTCTGACTCACAAGTTTGCTGACTCACACTTATCCAGCTGCAGGTAAAGGACAATCACAGCTAAAGTAACCCTTTCCTGTCCTTTTTCTCTGCATGCATAAACTCTT